TGTCTCGGATTCTCCAGCATCTGCAGTTCCTACTATCTCTGATTCAAGTCTAAGCTGGTGACAGCTTTCCAATTCATTTTCTATTTTCCATGCTTTTCTCCAATTATGTCAACAGACCTGCCATGTTAATAATATATAATATTGCCAGCTTTGATGCCAAATCCTCTTGCCCACTGCTTCACCGTACATTAAACAGATCCATTCAGAGGAGGTTCATTATAACCAGAAACAGTTAATCTGTAACTTCTAGATCAGTAGAATTCTGTTTGTAGTCTGTCCTTTCCAATTTTCTTGTGACCTATGCCCTTCTTAATTTTTACAGCTTTCCCTCATGAATCTACTGAAACAAATAAACGATGACATTGAACATCTGAAGCACAAGAAAATTAGTGTGCAAGAGGCCAGAGAACAGGTATGGAAATAATCAGTGTTGTAAATGGAGTTGCAATCAAATCTGTGTAAAACATGTATTGGATTTATAAAAACCATAATTATCTGTTGAACATAACCATTCTGTCTCTTAGGTTCAGACCATGATAGATGACAAAGCAAATGATGTGAAAATGTTAAAAGAACAAATTCGAAAAGTGGATGAAGCAATTGAACAAGAAAAGGAGGTCAGACCATCAGATTTTTCTTTTTCAGTGTAACTGCCAAATTGACATAACTGCTTGTATTTACAGAGCATTTATTTAACATGGAAAATGTTTTATGATTGTCAAATTATCAAACAAAATTTCGTATTGAACCACATAGGGATATATTGAGACAGGTGACTTGAAGCCTGGTCAAAGAGAGAAATTTTAAGGAGTATCTTAAATCTTCATATATATTTGGCCACATGCATAGCTGCCAAGACTGGAGCATGTAAATAGATATACATGCAACCAGAGTTGAAGGGGCATATAACTTTCAAGGTCGTTGGGATGGAGCAGATTAGATTGTTCAGTTTTAGAGGTTTTGGCTTTTGAATCTTTATTGCATGTTCAATAAATTGAGGAACCAAGTTAGTTTTTCCAGATTTCTACTTTATTGAAGAAATATTGCCATAGTTTTATGCCTAAGCCTGGAACTTTGGAAAACTCTCCAAGCAATGGTGGCCAAATGTAGGGGATCTGAAATGGGACTTTGGCTTGATTGTAATTTCCAGAAAGAGCTGGTCTGGCCGCATCGACAGAGCAAAAAGAAGTTAACACTTCAAGTCCATTCCATCAGAAGTGAAAGCAGTTGGGAAATGGTGGTATTTATACTGATGACAATAGCAGAGAGTGAAGGGGAGAGAAGGTGGGGTGCGGGGAATCACTGGATTCAACATTAAGTTGCTTTCTGTCCACAGATGCTGTCAGACCTGCTGAGTTTCTCCAGCAATTTTTATTTTTGTCTGTTTCATCATGTTTCAGCATTCTTTGTTTTGTTATCTTAATAAACTTAATAAAGCGGATGAACTTAGAGCATGGGTCGGCACTTGGAACTACGATGTTGTGGCCATTACAGAAACTTGGGTAACTCAAGGAGAGGAATGGTTGTTGGAAGTTCCGGGATTTAGATGCTTTAAAAGATATAGGGAGGGTGGAAAAAGAGGTGGGGGAGTGGCATTGCTAGTCAGGGCGAGTATAGCAGCTACTGAAAGGCAGTTTGAGAATGATACGTCTACAGAGTCAGTTTGGGTTGAGGTCAGGAACAAGAAAGGAGCAGTCACTTTGTTGGGGGTTTTTTATAGACCCCCTAATAGTTACAGAGAAGTAGAGGAGCAGATTGGGAGGCAGATACTGGAAAGGTGCAGAAGTCGCAGGATTGTAGTCATAGGTGACTTCAACTTTCCAAATATTGATTGGAAACGTTTTAGTTGTAATAGTTTAGATGGAGTAGATTTTGTCCAGTGCATTCAGGAAGGATTCCTGACACCGTATGTAGATAGACCAACACAAGGAGAGGCCACTTTGGATTTGGTGCTTGGCAATGAATCGGGCCAAATGTTAGACCTGTTGGTAGGAGAGCATTTTGGCGGTAGCGATCATAACTCTGTTTCTTTCACGATAGTTATGGATAAGGATAGGTACATACAGCAAGGTAAAGTTTATAACTGGGGGAAGGGTAATTACAATTCAGTTAGGCAAGAACTGGGTAACATAAATTGGGAACAGATGCTGTCAGGGAAGAGCACCACAGAAATGTGGAGATTGTTTAAGGAATGCATACTGCATGTGCTCAATATGTTTGTCCCTAGCAGGCAGAGAAGATGCGGTCGAGTGAGGGAGCCATGGTTCTCGAGAGAGGTCGAACAACCGGTTAAGAGGAAGAAGGAGGCTTATGTAAGGGTTAGGAAAAAAGGAACGGAAAAGGCTCTAGAGGGATACAAGTTAGCCAGGAAGGACCTGAAGAAAGGGCTTAGGAAAGCTATAAGCGGGCATGAGAAAACCTTGGCAGATAGGATCAAAGAAAACTCCAAGGCTTTTTACACGTATGTGCAGAACAAGAGAATGACCAGAGAAAGGGTACGGCCGATCAAGGGTTGTAAAGGGAATTTGTGCACAGAGCGTAAAGAGATAGGAGAGGTCCTTAATGAATACTTTTCTTCAATATTCACAACTGAGAGGGACCTAGTTGTAGAGGAGGACGTTGTGAAACAGGCAGGTAGGCTAGAGGAGGTTGATGTTAGTAAAGAAGATGTGCTAGGAATTCTGAGGAAAATGAAGATAGATAAAAGTCCCCTGGGCCTGATGGGATTTATCCAAGGATTCTATGGGAAGCGAGGGACGAGATCGCAGGGCCTTTGGCGATGATCTTTTCATCCTCACTGTCCACGGGTATAGTGCCGGAAGATTGGAAAGAGGCAAACGTCATTCCCTTGTTCAAAAAAGGGAATAGGGATAACCCTGGAAGTTACAGGCCAGTTAGTCTTACGTCAGTGGTGGGCAAATTATTGGAAAGGGCTCCAAGAGACAGGATTTATGATCACTTGGAAAGGCACAGTTTGATTTGTGATAGTCAGCATGGATTTGTGAGGGGTAGATCATGCCTCGCAAACCTTATTAAATTCTTTGAAGAGGTGACCAAACACGTGGATGAAGGTGGAGCAGTGGATGTGGTATACATGGATTTAAGTAAAGTGTTTGATAAGGTTCCCCATGGTAGGCTCATGCAGAAGGTAAGGAGGCATGGGATAGGGGGAAATGTGGCAGATTGGATTCAGAATTGGCTGACCCTTAGAAGATTAAGGGTGGTAGTGGATGGAAAATATTCAACATGGTGCTCAGTTACGAGTGGTGTACCACAAGGATCTGTTCTGGGTCCTCTTTTATTTGTGATTTTTGTAAATGATTTGGATGAAGGAGTGGAAGCGTGGATTAGCAAGTTCGCGGACGATACAAAGGTGGGTCATGTTGTGGACAGTGCGGAGGGCTGTTCTAGGTTACAAAGGAACATTGATAGAATGCAGAGCTGGGCTGACAAGTGGCAGATGGAGTTTAACCCTGAAAAGTGTGAGGTGATTCATTTTGGAAAGACAAACTTGAAAGCAGAATACAGGGTTAACGGAAAGATTCTTGGCAGTGTAGAGGAGCAGAGGGACCTTGGGGTTCATGTTCACAGTTCCCTGAGAGCTGCCACCCAGGTGGATAGAATTGTTAAGAAGGCGTATGGTGTGTTAGCTTTCATTAATAGAGGGATTGAGTTCAAGAGCCATGAAGTTATGCTCCAGCTATACAAAAGCCTGGTTCGGCCACATCTGGAGTATTGTGTCCAGTTCTGGTCACCTCATTACAGGAAAGATGTGGAAGCGTTGGAAAAGGTGCAGAGGAGATTTACCAGGATGTTGCCTGGAATGGAGGGAACATCTTATGAGGAAAGGTTGAGAGAACATCTTATGAGGAAAGGTTGAGAGAGGTAGGGCTTTTCTCTTTAGAACGACGAAGGATGAGAGGTGACTTGATAGAGGTGTACAAAATGATCAGAGGTATAGATAGAGTAGACGCCAGAGACTTTTTCCTAGGGTGGAGGTAGCTTTTATGAGGGGACATAGTTTTAAAGTGAAAGGAAGTAGATACTGGGGAGACGTCAGAGGTAGGTTCTTTACTCAGAGAGTGGTAGGGGTGTGGAATGCATTGCCGGAGAGGGTCGTGGAGTCGGCCTCATTAGGAGCATTTAAGCGGCTATTAGATAGGCATATGGATGATAGTATAAGGTAGCGGTGGAGGTTAGATAGACCTTAGGTTCAGGGTAAAAGTTCGGCACAACATCGTGGACCGAAGGGCCTGTACTGTGCTGTACTGTTCTATGTTCTAACATTTTTTTCCCCAGTTCTGGAAGAAAGAGGAGATGATGTTGTCAAGGTACTGCAGAAAGAGTTGTGGGCAGGGACCCGAGTAGGACTGGTTCAAGAATGTTTCGTATACCCCACAAAATGACACGCATAACAGGGACCTGTTCAGCTACCCATAGCCACACCTTTAATCTGAAGAAACTGAGAGGAGTTAAAGGAGAATTGTTCAAAGTGAGGACCAGCTCAGGCAGGTGGCTCACAACTTTTCTTTCAAGGAAGAAGCAGAAAACCGTCAGACGATCCTGATGGCGGGGCGGCTGTGTTGAGGGATTGTACGTTCATGTGGAGAAAAGGCTAGCAAAAGGAACATTGTGAAACTGATGGTTTTTAAAAAATCATGGATGTAAGTGGGAAGAGAGTGGAGAAAGGGAGGAAAAGATGATCCAAGCTAGGAAGAAATGAGTTCCAGATGTGAGGAGGTTAGTGATAGTGATAGAAACAATAGCTTGATGTTTGGTGGAGTTCATGGTCAAGGGGAGGAGCTGGCATTCAGCCTCTGCATGGTAGAGGTCAGTACACCAGGGTGAATGTTGGCAAATTAATAATCTGCTGCAAAAGACTAACAGGTTGTACAAGATTTAGTTATGTAAAATTAGCTTTTAATTTTAGGAACATCAAATCATTCAAATTTACTTTTTAGGAAGATAATCGAAAAACGACAAAACAAGTCCAAGAGCTTGAATCACTGGAAAATCAGAGGAAACGGTTACAGAAACACTTAAACGATGAATTAGATGAAGCAATTGGACAGTTGAAAATGGCTAAATACCGGTATGTAGCAGTAAAATCTAATTAGAATCTTTCCTATATTGCTTTTAGATTGTAATCACGAATAACAAAACATTTAACTTCAGCACATCATACCATAAGAATAAACTTCCACAAAAAATGATCAACATTGCTCAATGTTCTTAAGCTGATTTTAATCCAATTGGATACTGACCCTTTTATTTCATAAGCCTCAATTTTGTTAATCTAATATGTGATACTTTTGTCAAGTGCTTTCTTAAAATCGGTGTAGAGTACATTCGTGAGCCCCCCTTGCATCACCATGGTAATGTCCCTAACTGTGGATGGGGAGGTAGGTGGAGATAGTGGAGGCTGGGTTCGAGTTCCACCTGCTCCAGCAGTATGTAATAACATCTCTGAACAGGGCTGCTTAGAAAAATTAGTTAAATAATTTTAAAAAGCACATTCACTGCATTCCCTTTTTAATTCAGTTTAATAAGTCGAACATGATTTTCTTTTACCAATCTTCTGGTTGTCCTTAATTAAGCTAAAATCTATCTGTTAACTACCCCCTCCTCCCCAACTGAGGTTTAATTGGGTAGCTGAAAGATATGTAAATGAAAACAAAATTCAGTAATCCTGAATAATCAGGTTGGTTAAATGGAATTGAGGATAGCTCATTCAGAGACTACATGTCTGAGGAATCAAATTCTTCCTGTGAAATTCTTTCATGCAATTTTTTTAAATGCCATGTAAATATCCTGCATCTGTATGGGGAAAAGAGCTGTCTGCCTTTTGTTTTACTGCCACAACTGAAGCATGCATTTTATTTCAATTTATCAGTTAGAAAGTAGTACTTTTAGAAAATTTGTTGTATTTGCACAATTATTTCCTCCTCAGATTTGATGAAGTGGAGCAAAAGACTACAGAATCTAAGAGAAAAATAACTAACAAATTACAGTTGTGCTTGGATACAATGACCCAGCATGTCACAAATCTAGAGGTAGGAATCTTTAACCTTTAGTTATATGATAAGGAGGGATGTGCAAATTGAGGTATCGCTAATTTGAACCTTTCAGGAATGTATATTTAGACCGTAAGTTATAGGATCAGAAATAGGCTATTCGGTTCATCAAGTCTGCTCAGCCATTCGATCATAGCTGATATGTTTCTCAACCTTAGCCTCCTGCCTTTTCCTTGTAACCCCATAGCACAAATCTGATTCCTTTTTTTAAAATAAATACATATTTTTCTTTCAAGTTGGTGTAGACCTGGACACCAGTCATCCAGAAGCACTATGTAGCTATCATTCTAATCAAAATTCAGTAATACTATGAATAATACCCAGCTGCACGTTACGGAAGGTCTGGGGTCTGCTTAAAGGACTCTAGAAACAGGATTTATGAGACTTGTTCATTGATGATCTTTCTGGGACCTGCACTACAGAGTGTTCAGCAAATCTTTTTTTTAAAACCAATTATTGATAGGCCAAAGAAATTTGACAATACTGTGTGGTCTATCAGCCCCTGTACAGCTTCTTTAACTAATCCTTTAACTAACCTTTGACTTTGGGCCCATTTCCACCTTTATGCATATAATTTCCCTTGCTGCATACAAATTGTTTTGGGCTGTCATGGCAAGGCAGAGGTGGGTTGTGATTGTGTTCCTATTAATATCACCCTGTTAAAAATTGAGGAGGAGGGTAAACTTGATTCATTTTCTTTGGTTCCTGCATTTCCCCTTTCCATTGCACAGATATCTAAATTTTCATTATATTCCATACATTATTCACCTGGGGTTAGATACTGAATTACATTTGTTTTCTCTTGGTGTTGATTTTGGTCTGGACTGAAGTGATTTTCTTTCTTTGTTCAGAACTACCTTGTGGATTATCAAAAAGGAGCTACGAAAGACTATGAGGAATCCTTGAAAGACAACTTTTTAACAGATCTGAAGTCAATAGCCGAATCATGCGAAGAGATGGTTAGCTCTCTCTGAGCTGCAACAGGATGCATAATATATCTTGTTTCTGTATGTACAGTTAGTATTAAGGAATGACTTTATACCATTGCAGGAATATATTGTCTTCCAACTGATATTGTTTGAGACAGCGAGAAGCTTGGGCTTAACATAACCTCTTGCAAGCAGAATTCCGTTCTTTATTTGTAATATTGTCAGAGCAAACATATTTTCAAACATAGTCTTCATATATCCTTGTGGAGGAATTTTGGAGCCTAGATTTGGTTTTTCTGAATTCCATTCCAGCTAGCTTTGACCAATGAAGGTGATTGATCTAGAATTATAGATACTTAATGTAAATTGCATATAAATAATTCTTAATCCTGTGGTTGTTCCAGTCTTAAGTATCCAAATATGATGTAATTCTTAAATTCTATCTTAATTAAAAGACTGCTTTAGTCATACATCAACAGCCTCCAATCCAGGATCTTTGATTCAGGCTCTTTTTTTTTATATAAAATTAGACTGGGGTGGGAGAGGTGTTGGGTACTTGTACTGGCCCAAGTCCTGGAAGGGAATACATTGACTTGATTGCTGCCTGCAATCTCTGAACTTCAATGAGGATTAATTATATTTGAGCAATCTATTGGCAGTAGCCATGCAGAATTGTATTTATTAGAGTGCAGCCTCTTGGAAAAAATGGTCAGCAGCTACTTCATCAAAGGGAGAGGGCGGATAATTGGTGGGAAAATCAGGGAAGAATTGGTCTTTGGTTTAGTAGCAGCCTGCTCATATGTCCATTATATTTTGCCATTCTTTCGGCTTGCAGTTCGCTCCTCCAGAGATGGCCTGAAGTCTCTGCAGCATTATGTTTTTGGAGCATCATATTGTTTCCTAAATATATTCAAGGTTGTATTTTACCACCCATCTGAGAACTGCAGAAGTTCCACACTTACCTTGTACTATACAGATGCCCACTACCAGTCTTCAGCTTGAAGTAATTTTTCAGGTATAATCTATTTAGCTTCAACATTCTTAGATATTTTAGTAAAATGATCATTCATGTGTGTTTTTTTGATTATGTACATTATTTCTTTGGTTAACTACTAAATGGTATAAACACCAGCAATATTGCCTGAATGGAGGAGCATCATTGGTAAAGCTGACCACAATCAAAAGTACTCCTGATTAGAAGAAAGCAACCCATCCAATAACCAGTTGTTAGGACAGTGCTGATATGACAACAGCAAGCAGCATACAGACCTTAGTTTGGACACTGGTAGCAGTCTTTGAGAATGGGATTGCAAGGGAGTGAGGATCACTGATAGGAACAACAAAGGGCTTGCAGGGTTATACGGAGAAGATAGGAAAATGGTAGTGAGTGAATTGTTCATTCAGAGAACTGGTACACAAACTCTTATATAAGATACTGTATTTGGATTTTCAGAAGGTGTTCAGTAAGGTACCACACCTTAGGCTGCTGAAAAGCCCATGTTGTTGGGGAACCTATGTATAGTCTGTATGCAGGACTGGCTAACAAATAGAAGAGAGAGCTAGGAAAAGGAGGCATTTTCAGGATGGCAATCTATAACTAGTGGAATGCCACAGGGAATTAGTACAGGGGCCACTATTACTTATAATATATAAAACTGGCTGAGAAAAGTGAATTTATTACAGCCAAGTTTGGAGGTAATACAATTAGTTGAGAAACCAAGTAAAGAGGATGATAGAGTCTGCACACAGCTGTAGACAGGTAAAGAAATTGGGCACAGACTCTTCTGATGGAATATAGTGTGAAAAATTGAAAGGCTGTGTACTTTAGCAGGAAGAAGAGAGGAGCTAAATGTTATTTAATTGGAAAAAAAATCGACAGAAAGCTACAACACAGGGATTTGGAAGACTTCGTGCATAATTCATAATAAGCTAGCATCCAAGTTCCGCAGGTAATAAGGAAGACAAATGCAATGTTGGCCTTTAATTTGAAGGGAGTGGCCTAAAAAAATTTTGCTAAAACTATAGAAGATGTTAGTCAGACACAGCGAGAATACTGTGAACAGTTTTGGGCCCTTTATCGAAGGAAAAATACTGTCATTCAAGGCAGTTAAGAGAAAGTTCACAAGGCTGATAGTGTAGGGAGAAGTTGAGTAGGATGGGTCTATTCATTCGAATTTAGAAGTGAGAGGTGTTTCTATTGAAATAGTCAAATTCTTAGGGGCTTGACATAGTACAAGTGGAAAGGCTGTTGCCCCTTGTGGAAGAGTCTAGTGCAGAGGCCATTATTTCAGAATAACAGGTTGCCCATTTAAGACTGATAAGAAATTCCTCCTCAGAGTAGTGAATCTGGATTTTTTTTTTACTGCAGAGGGCAGTCTGCGTCAGACTTAGGTTTGGGTGGTGTTGAATGGAATGACATTGAATGAAGAATTAACAGAATTTTGCCTGTTGGGTAAAGTTAACATTCCACCATAATATCCTAACTTGCCTGATTTCACTGTTGCTTGACCTGACACTTAAATAATTTGCCAAATGGATCAGAGCTGTTGGATAGGAAGGTTCAGATGTTAGTGGGGTGACATATACAGGGCTTCAGAAACTTCATTAAACAAACTTGATAGAATTTGATAGGTCACCACCAGTGGCAGAGCCTCCTTTGAGTTCAGCTCCTTTACAGCCAAGAGCTGGGACCAGGAAAAGAGCCTCATTAAAATCAAGATTGATATGTGAACATACACAATCTGTGGTTGATATTTTTAATCAACTTATCCAGATATATTATGAGACTTGAATCTCAGCCTCTTGGTACCACTGCACCATAAAAACACTTATAAACTAACATTTTTATATATTATAGAGTACCAGGATTTAGACAAGCTTTGTGATTTCCTCTTTTAACGTTAATAACCATTTGCTTCATTCCTACCTACTAAGTCAGAGATTTAGACAATATTTTAGAAGCTGCTTTGAAAATCCCTGTTAATACTGAATAAGCTAATAAAGGGATCATGCCCATCTACTTCTAATAGAATGGCTACAGCTCAGGAAGAGGCATCCAACCCAGAATTGGTGCTGGCTCTCCATGAAAGCAATTCATCTAGTCCCCAACACAAGTCCTTTACCCAATCTTCACAATTTTTCTCTTCAGATGCTTTTGAATAGCACAATTTAATCATGATTTGACCACTTCTAAGAACAACCAGCCTTTCTAATGTTAAAGCTGAATCAGATGATGAAGTATGAAACAAGATACAATCTTTTTCTTGATGGTAGGTTTATTCACAACGCAGCATTACATACCTTTGCTTCCTACCTAATGAAACCAGATTACCAGCCGTTCTCTTTCACTGGATATTTGTTTTCAAAGAAGTATAAAATTAAGAAATAAATAGTCCTTTAGAGGAAACTTTTTTAAAAAAATCCTTGACAAATTATGCTAAACTGCTGTTTCCAGGGCTGCTGATGCACTCTAATTCTACAAAGGCCTCAAGTACACCAGTTGATTCCATGCTCACTCAACAGGGACAGCCATGTTTACACATAACCTCAGAGGAGGTACAGGACATTGGTCTGGCCACTTCTAGAGTGCTGCATTCACTTCTGATCTCCCTACTGTAGGAAGGAAGTTGTGAACCTCAAAAGAGTTCATAAAAGATTTATAAGGATACTGCCAGGTTTGAAGAGTTTGAGCTACAGGGAGAGGCTGGATAGGCTGGGGCTATTTTCCCTCGATTGTTGGAGGCTGAGGGATGACCTTAAAGAAGTTTATAAAATCGTGAGGTGCGTGGATAGGGTGAATAGGCCAGGTCTTTACCCTAGGGTAGGGGTGTCCAAAACTATAGAGTGTATCTTTAAGGTGAGAAGGGAAAGATTTAAAACAGATGGACGTATGGGGGAACTTTTTCATTTGCAGGGTGGTGTATGAATGGAATTAACTGCCAGAGGTAGTGGTGGAGGCTGGTACAACTACAACATTTCAAAGGCATCTGGATATGGGCCAAATGCTGGAAGATTGGACTAGATTAATTTAGAGACAACATAGTGTGGAGCTGGAGGAACACAGCAGGCCAGGCAGCATCAAAGGAGCAGGAAAGTTGACGTTTTGGGTTGGGACCCTTCTTCAGAAATGGGGAGGGGGGAGGGAAATAAATACACAAGGGGTGGGATGGTGATAGGTGAATGCAGGTAGGGAGTGGCGGGGATTGGTAAGTGGGATGGGTGGGGCGGATAGGTGGGAGAGAAGATGGACAGGTTGTGTCAGGTCAAGGGGGTGGGGTGAGAGGGAGGACTGGACATGGGATGAGGCCAGGGGTGGGGATATTTTAAAACTGGTGAATTCCATGTTTAGGTCATCGGGCTGTAGGCTCCCGAGGCTCGTTTGCAGATGGTGTCATTGTGACACTGGAGGAGGCCCAGGATGGACATGTCACCCAGGGACTGGGAGGGGGAGTTAAAATGGTTGGCAACTGTTTTGTTGCTTGTTGAGTACAGAGTGCAGATGCTCTACGAAGCAATCTCCAAGTCTACGCTTGGTCTCACCGATGTAGAGGAGACTACATCGGGAGTAGCGTATACCGTAGACCAAGTTGACAGACGTACAGGTGAACGCCTGTCTGCTATGAAAGGTTTGTTTGGGCCTTGAATGGAGGAGAGGTGTAGGTGTAGTACTTCCTGCAATTGCAGGGAAAGGTGCCAGGTGAGGTGGGGAGTAGATGAGGGAGTCGTGAAGAGAATGGTCTCTACAAAAGGCAGACAGTTGGGGATGGAAATGTCTCTTTGGTTATCGGGCCGGATTGTAGGTGGTGGAGAATGATACACTGGATGTGGAGGTTGGTGGGGTGATATGTGAGGACAAGGGGGATTCTGTCTTTATTTAATTTAGGATATCTGGTTGGCATGGATGAGTTGGACCAAAGGGTCTGTTTCTGTGTTGGACATCTCTATGACTCTATAAGAGGAACAGGCAGCTGGGTCTAATGACACCCTCAACCAACTGCTTTCTGAACTTGTTGGAAAGGCTTCTCTTTAGAATCTTTTGAAATTAATCAGATACAATTTATGGTTGTAGGGGACTGGTAACATCCTCAAAAAGGGGAGGGCAGCAACATGGAAGACAACTGCTCACTGGGGCTCCTGCCACTTCCAGATGGCAAGACAAAATTCCATCGCATGTTTGGATGAGGATGAATTCAAACTCCATGCAGAATGGAAGAGATTTGAGGGCCTTTTTAGATGTGCTCTGTCTCCTTAATTAAACAAGAAATAGATTAACAGAATACCCTTTCAGAAATAACTCCACAAAGGCTGATATCCTATCACCAAGTCACTCTTTATTTACACATGGGGAGTCCTTGGCACTGATGCAGCTCTGAGTGAACAGGATGTCTGACACTCCTGTGGTTATTTATCAGCCAGGGCTCCCTGGTTGGGGCTATTAATCTGGTCCAATCAGGGAAATCCTATTCTATGAGGTCCATCTGG